TAGGCAGCAAGGAGCACAGCTCAGCAGCCTAGAGAGCTGTGTGCAACTGGTAAGTCTCTTGTGGTGGGAGAGGCAGGGGGAGGGGGAAGGGGAGGGACGTGGGAGAGCATATCAAGGTCCCCGTGGTGAGGAAGGGAGTGGGGCTGAGGCAGGTGCTGCCCAGCTGGGGTAGGGTGGGTGCGGGATGGAGCTGTGGCTCATTTGGGGGTGTGGGGAGGGGGGGCCGCTCCTGACATTGTGTGCACCCCAGGAGGACACGGGTCTGGGAGGAGTGGTTTGGGGGGGGCTACACCAACTTTTGGGGTGGCTGCAGCCCTCTCCCATAGCCCCCTCCCAGAACTGCCACCACCTGCCCTTGTGCAGTCTGACCCAGCCCCACCGCCAGCAAGAGCCTGGCACATCTCTGGCCCCAGCCCAGTGGTAGCCGGCCTGCCCTACATAGATCTGGGGGGCACATGCCCCCCCATGTCCTCCCAGGGTGTGTGCAGCGGTTGGAGCTGTCTCTCCTGGACAAGCTGTGTGCAGCTGTCCCCGTGCCCTGCCCTGCTCCAACCCCAGCCCCAGCCTCACTCTCTCCCTCCCTCATTGCAGGGGCCTCAATCTGCCCCCCCATGCCACTTCCCTCCCCCCCCCTTCCACCACAACAGACTTACCAGCTGAACAGTGCTTTTCAAGATGCCGGGCTGGTATCAGAAATCAGATTGGTATTGGCTGATATGCCTCCTTAAAAATTGGCTATCGGTGTCAGTCACAAAAATCTCTATCAGTGCACCATTAGTTTATAGTCATTTATGTTCCAATCCACCCACCACTGCTGCCACAAGTGCAGGAACCAAACAAGAGAGAATAAAGTCCTGAACTTACCACAGAAAGCCTTGCACTGACTTTGTATTCAATTACCTAAACATATCTGGCTACTAGATAAAAAGTTGTCCTTTAGCTCTTTCACTGCAGAAGCTATCCACAACTGTTATCTCAGGCCAAACTTGTATTCATTTAAACAGGTTTAACTTCTTTTACTCTAATCCAAACTTCTATCTCAACTGCACTTCACAGGTGCAGATGACGACATAAGATGCATCATCTTATGCATCCGATTCATTTTTTTAAAGAAGAGCCTAAAATCCATTCAATTTGTTCCATTAGTCTTGTCCAAAAGGAGCTAGATTTTAGGGCATCCTCACTGCATTTATCTGGCTCTATTTATATTAAGTGCTCATTGAAAGAGCATGTGCACTGCATAGATAACAAACAACAATTCATGCTGTTGTCCTTTGCAGTGTGTTGATTTCTGGAAACCTGCTCCTTGCACCTCTTGGAAATATTTATTTTACTGTGAACCACTCATCAGAGTTACTCCCCATTTTAATTATGTGAAACTTTTTATTGTATTTTCTGTGCTGTTTCCTCTAAAAGATAGGAAAACATGTTAATTGAAGTGTGTTTTCCTGATGGCCTGTTTAGGAACATGGACACAGCTTTGCAATTTCTGATATTACCTAGCTTTTCCAGTAAAGTAGTGGAGCAGTTTAAACCAGTGCTTTTGCATAACCTACTGTTATGTGTCATTCTCGCCGCATGATAAGTTTTTGAGTGTTTGTGGATTATTATTCCAGGTCATTTACAATTGTAAAACAATTGTTTAGATAGACAAATGGGGGAACAGCTTTTGTCAGCTAGTCTTTCTAACTCTAAGAGATGCAAGAAGGTAAGAAAGTTCACTTTTCCAACTAATTAACATACCAATTTTTATTTAATGTGTAAATTATATCTAGTGATTCAGGTAAAAACATAGGGCTTCATCTTCCAACCTGTGGGTGATGAAAGTAGGATCAAACTCCCTATTTACATTAAAATAGTATAATCTTGGGCACATCTACATGGGATGTTTACTGTGGAGTTGACTAATTAGCTGCACAGTAACCATCTCAACATCTACATGTGTGCTCCTATTAGGCTGGAATAAACTAATTTACTCTGCAGCAGGACAGTACTTATATTTACAGTACTACTCTGCAGCAGCGCATGTGTAGACACTGAAGAGGGTGGCTGGGGCAAGAGGGTTGTTCAGTGAGTGCTTCCTGCTGGCTGGCCTCACACTGAAGCACCCTCATGTCCCAGTCAGCCCCTCCACAGCATCTTGAGCCAGGAGGAGCACCCTTGGGCTGGCAGGCTGACCCCCCAGTTCTCCTGCCAGCCAGGGCTGCTCTGACCGGACTCCATGTGCTGCACATGAATAAATTCCAGAGCTTATTGCTCCAGAGTTAATTGCTCCTGGGTGCGCATTCAAATGGGGAGCCCAGGAGAAATAAACTCTGAAGAAATAAGCTCTGGAGTTTATTCATGTGCAGTATTAGCACATGTAGATGTGGCCCCTTTATCATATTCAGTCACAGAAATAGTTGCAACTGAACTTGAGGTCGTTGCTCTTACAGTGCCATATCCCAGAATATGGGGCTAGAAAGGATTGTTCAAAGACTATTGAATAGTGTTACTTCAAATACTATTGAAAATAACCCCAGGATTTAGGACCTTCTGTAGTTAACTAAATGGCCAGTCAGACTGGTAATGGTCTATGACTATCAAAGATCCCTTCAATCGCAATTGCTCTTGATTGCCCATTAAAGTAAAGTAAATGTTACTCTCATTCTTTCTAGTATTAAATCAGACTAGTTAACTTGTTGCAAAAACCTGCACTGACATTTCAATCAGCTTCTCTCCGTTAACCTTATGTGTAGAGAGCTTGTCTAATCACACACGGAGCTGCATTAACTTAACTAACAGTTAGTTAATTTACTTAAACCAAAACAACTTTTGTGTATTACATGAGTTTAGTTTGCCCATGTACATTGGGATATTACTTCCTGCCAATACTATACCTATAATTCCCAAGCGCAAAGTAAACCTATGTAAGGAAAGTTTAAATTGATATAAAAGCATCTATTCACACCTTTTGCTGTTTAACATTATGCCTTTAATTAAACTAGTCCCACTCCTTTGTGGAGAACAACCTTTAGTTACCTATATTAGTTAAAACAATACAGCTGTATTGAAACATAGTCCTGCTAAGAGTACGGCTTGGCTCATTTTGTTCACTGGGATTCATGTTCTTCTCCTTATTAAAATGACACAGTGGATCAGTTCCTAGGGATTTGTTAAATTTTAGTTTTAAGGCTGAGTCCAGTTGCACCCATTTGTCATTCAGTTTGTACAAAATGAGGGAAGAGCAAGTGAAGTTTACTTAGTGTGCTTGTACCTTTTAACACCCATTCTAACACTCCTGTTGCCTTAGAAATGGTATTTAAAGGTCTACTTTTTTGGGGAATTGGCTTATAGACATAGATATATACATTATAAGAGTTCAAGACGGGCAGCAGGAGCTAATTGATTTCTAAAAAGCTTAGGTCTCGCACACAAAGTTTCTCACAGCCTTGGAAGCAGACAGGCTGTCTAACACAACAAGGCCAATGGATGAACACATAGCCTGGGAAAGAGGAAGATATGTACCATACTGTCCCATAACATGAGATAAAGTAACACCAGCAACAAGGCCCCAGAGCAGGGGGAGGGCCAAGTCCCTGTTTTGAGTGAACAGACCAAATTAGGAGAAGGCCCGGAAGGCTATGTGAACGTGTGACTGCAGAGACAACCCACCAGACATAGCTACGGATGAAGATGCTTCAGGAGGGAAGGAGAATACAAAAGCAGAAACTTGAGAGTAACAAAGTGTCCCACCCTTTGTCCTGTTCCTCCTCATCAGTCTCTCCCTTTGTCTCATCCCTCCCTTCCTCCTCCATAAGAGGGGTCCCCGTCCCCATCTCCTGGGAAGGGTCCCCGAGGCCATCATGGAATGAGGGCATACTAGCAGCCTGTCTCATGAACCCTACTGGAGGTGTGAGAGAGTGTGGGCTTTGGCATCCCACCTCCAGATGCTGACACCTAAGAGAGAGCCTCAGAGTGGAGACTATGTCCTGGCCAGATGTGCTTTCATGACAGCCCTAGGATTTGGTAGATATACAGAATTGCTTGATTGTTTGTATTGTTCCTTTTCTGTTATCACTGTGTATCAATAAACTTGCCTATTATTGAATGGAAAGGTTGTGGTTGGTCTGAGGGTGGGTCCCCCTTGGGACAAGGCCTCTGGGTCCTAAATCCAGAGCCAACAACTCCCAAGTGGAAATGACTGCGCAAGACAGGTGACAGGGGAGGAGAGATAACATGTGCTTTTTTTTAAGTGGTGCAAAAAGAAAAGCAACCAATCAGATGGCTTGAGCTGAATCCATCTCAAACTTAAAAGTTTTAAAGTTTTCCAATCCGTGGACACAGGAAACGTATGCAAAATAGAGTTCCTTGTCCATCCCATCCCAAATGTCCTCTAGTTAGCAATGGAGATCATTATTTTAACAAGATCCCCTTTTTCTCTCTTAAATGATGGCCAGGTCAAGCAGGTAAACAGCATCTATGGTAAAGAGAAAACTACATTTAACAAGTCATAGTGCAGCACACCCTATAATTTTATGATCAACTCACTTAAATCTATTTATCAAGGTAGCTTTTAATTACCGGTAGTAGAACACTGTGAAAACAAATCCTTCCCAGGAAACACTCCAATCCGCTGGGAAACTCTACTACGGAATGAATGGATATTATGTTATGAAACCAACAAAACAAATATCAAATAAATACTAGTAAACGTTTCTTGTGAAGCCTGTAAAGGAAGAAACTTACCTCTGGGATGACCTTTCTCTTATCCCAAAGACTCTTGGCCACAAGACTGCAGAATGTTCTAGCATTTAAGCAGCTTTCTCATTTTGCAAACCTTGAGTGTTTGCTTTGGAAGGAAAGGTGTCAAAAGGCAATTCCTTATTGATGCCAGCTGGATATGTGATAGCCTTTACCTGGAGCCACTCAAGAAAAAGCTAAATGAGTGGCCAGGATGTGTAGCCCATCTACAGCTCCCATTCTTGGTGGAACTCAGATCCTGCAAGGCCCAGGTGAAAATCAGAGATAATCCCTGTTAACTGGTACCTAACTGGGACAAACTCAAAGTGGAAAAACTATTAGGGTCAGCTACCGACTATCCACAGAGGCTCAGGGATATGTTTCTAGTTGGTAACCGAGAACGCAATTATGCAAAGCCTCTTCTATAAACAGATTTCAGTTTATTATGACATAACTCAGGATCTATTTTTGTCGCCACTTCGTACAAATGCATTACCCTTGTGATTTCTAATCAGGTCATGCAATGTCAGACACTTTTGGCTCAGGCTGCTCAGAAAACTTCCAGATTCTCCTCTTCCTAACTTACCCCCATGCTGCCCCCCCTCAGTTTTTGGACAGTGAGGACAAGGGGGCTCGTGTCTGCATTCTATTCTGGTAGCTGTGAGTTATGGTGATATCACGTAAACCAAAGGGCTCAGAAATGCAGGTCAAATTAAACCAGTGACTAATCATGGTATTTTAGTTGTCTTTCTGCCCCTGGGAAAAAGATTTATATGTTCATGAAGTCCTCTTGCTCTAATCCCTGTATGCTGATTTGCTCTGCAGTGCAGACTTCCTAACAGAGTGATGAAAGATCACCAAAAGTGGTTTGTTGTCCCAGGAGCTGTGAGATCTAAACTTATCTAAGTCTGAAATACAAACGGGGCTCAAGCTGCAGCAAAAGTGCTCCTCCGTGTTGTCCCTCATTTGTTTCTACTCAGAGCCATGATCCGTCAGCCACAGAGGATATATTTGGTCAGCATGCAGAGAAAGAAGGGCCGAGAAAGACATCTGAGCAGACACAAAGTGCCATTTGTTGAGATTGTTATCTAGCTCCCACATCTGTCACCTGGTGGCCAGCCAAACAATGGCTCCCCACAGCCGTGGACCATCCAGCCTCATGGAAAATGGAAGCAAGAAAAGTAAGCACCTCAAGGCTGTTATGAGACTCAGCTGTTTTCTCTTTGAAATAAGGCATTTACTTCACTGCAAGTGTATTAACTAGCCCTCCAGCTGGAGAAAGCATCCGTTTTCTTACTTGGACTTTTCTTTGACAGTTGGAGAATCTATAAGGCATTCTTACAAGGAAACCTAGGTGCTGATTCATGCAGTTGTTTTGATACCTCATTGTGCTTTAATTATTTGGACAAAAGCACTGTATTATGCACAATGAGCTACTTCCTGTCCTATTGCAAATCACATTGCAGTACTGTGCTCTCTCGTTACCAAACCCTCAGATCAGAAGGTTTGATGTGTGATATTTTACTGAAGGTGAAGGAAAACGAGTTCCCTGCACACAAGTCCCTGCTGGCCTGCTCCAGTGATTATTTCCGGGCTATGTTCAAAAGCTACACCAAAGAATCCAAAGCCAGTGTAATTCACCTGCAAGTGATCTCGTCCATGGGTCTCCAGCATATTCTAGATTTCATCTACACCTCCTGGTTACCCCTTTCTTTTGAGAGCCTGGAGGATACTTTGGAAGCTGCCAGTTATCTACAAGTGACTGAGGCTATTGGCCTGTGCAACCAGTACATAGTTAACAATCTCACCCTGGAAAACTGCTGTTTTTCTGCCAATGTTGCTACAAAGTTCTACCTTCCGGATGCTTTAGCAGCAACAGAAAAATACATCATCAGTAATCTCTGGAGACTGCTGGACCTGGATTTCACAGGGTTGCTTGAGCTTAACTTCAGATCTTTGATGGCAGTGGTAGAATCTGATGTCCCTAAGGTGAATGAATCCTGCCTGTTGAATCTGGTGATGATGTGGCTGAAGCATGATAAGTCCAGGCTGACTCTCAGAAGCAGCCTCTTAGAACAGATAAGATATGGTCTTATTCCTGTAGAAGATTTGCGAAAGGTCTACACTCAGTCAGAAGTGCCTCTCCCAGCGAGTGTCAAATGCTTGATCATAAAAGCAATAAACTATCACTCATTTGTTTTCAAGCAACCCCTCCTACAGGACAAATCCACCACACTGAGGAACCAGAAAACACAGATCATCCTCCTAGGTGGAGGAACCGCCAATGAAGGGCTTATAAGTGATGTAGTGGCCTTTGATGTTTATAATCACAAATGGAGAACTCTAACGCAGGTGCAGGACAGATTACAGTATCATAACATATGTGTGATTGGGAACTTCCTGTATGTGCTGGGTGGGGAAACAGAAGGAAGTTTGGTGAAATGTGAGTTTCACTGACTTATAAAACATCTTTTCCACTGCAAAGAAGCAGAATTCTCTCCATTAAGTCCCCATGGTTGTGTAGTTTGTTTTGAAGACTACCCAATAGAAAGGAAGTGTTCCCAGTAAAGACAAAGAAAATTTGAAAGGTTTCT